ACAGAGAAGTCTTTCAGGTATTTGACTTTAAAATAATCTGATCAGTCTGCTAATAATATGTTTAAAATTAGCTTTCATTTCAATTGGTTCATTAACTCTGGTAGCATAGTGCCTAAGGTACTTGACTGCTAACCAGAAGGCTGGAGGTTCAAACCCACCAGCCACTCCTCGGAAAGAGGGTTGGGCAATCCACTTTCGTAGTGATACTGCCTTGGAAACCCAAGGAGAGGTTGCTGTGAGTTGGGTCTGACTTGATGGCACATAACAACAACAACACATGAACTTACACCTTCTCAACATTTTTAATTGGTTTATATGAGTAAGAATAGAGTAAAGCTTGTGGATGGAGTATTTGTTACTAGTAAGGAATGCAGAACCATTTACCATCAAGTTGATTCCAACTCATGAGACCCCATGTATTGCAGAGTAGAACTACTCCTTCAGGTTTTCAGTGACTGACATTTCAGAAGTAGATCCTCTGGCCTTTCTTCCAAATCGCCATTGGGTGTATGTGATCTGCCCACCTCTAGGTTAGTAGCTGAGAGCTTATCCACTTGTGCTACCCAGGGTACAAATTTCCAGAACACTTAATTATGCTCATGCAGAACCTGTACATGGACTAAGAAACAGTCGTTCGAAAAGAACAAGGGGATAATGCATAGTTTAAAATCAGGAAGGGAGTGTGTCAGGGCTGTATCCTTTCACCATACTTTATGTGCACTGAGAAAATAATCCAAGAAGCTGGACAACGTGAAGAAGAATGCGGCATCAAGATTGGAGGAAGACTCATTAACAACCTGCAATATATGGATGACACAGTCTTGCTTCCTGATGGTGAAGAAGACTTGAAGCCCTTACTGATGAAAATCAGAAGACTACAGATTTGGTATGGAGTATATCTCAACATAAAGAAAACAAAAATCCTCACACCTGTACCATGAGCAACTTGATTATAAATGGAGAATATATTGAAGTTGTCAAAGATTTCCATTTTGCTCGGATCCACAGTCAAAGCCCATGGAAACAGCAGCTAAGGAAGCAAACAACATACTGCATTGGGCAGATTGCTGCAAAAGACCTCTTGAAAGTGTTAAAAAGTATAGAGGTTACTTTGAGGATTACGGTATTTCCATTCGCCTCATATACATGTGAAAGCTGGACAATGAATAAGGAAGACTGAAGATGAATTTATGCATTTGAGTTATTGCATTGATGAAGAATATTGAATATACCGTGGACTACCAAAAGAATGAACAAATCTGTCTTGGAAGAAATGCAGCCAGAATATACCTTAGCAGCTAGAATGGTGAGACTTTGTCTCATGTACTTTGGACGTGTTATCAGGAGGGAACGAGTTACAGGAGAAGGACATCCTGCGTGATAAAGTAGAGGGTCAGAGCAAAAGAGGAGGTCCTTCAACAAGATGGATTGACAGATTGCTGCAACAGTACACTCAAACATAGCCAGAAATGATTGTGAGGATGGTACAGGATTGGGCAGTGTTTTGTTCTGTTGTATATAAGAGTACCAAAATATGATCTTGAATATATCCCTCCTGAATTTAGAGATCATCTAAAGAATAGAGTTGATGCATTGAACACCAGCGACTGAAAACCAGAAGACTTGGGGGAGGATATCAAGAACATTATCCATGAAGAAAGCAAGATATCACTAAAAAGACAAGAAAAGAAGAGAAGACCAAAATGGATGACAGAAGAGACTCTGAAACTTGCCCTTGAGCAGAGAGAACTAAAACCAATGGAAGAAATGACAAGATAAAGGAGCTGAACAGAAGATTTCAGAGAGGAGCCTGAGCAGACCAAACCAATTACTATAAAGAAATGTGCAAAGACCTGGAGTTTAAAAACCAAAAGGGAAGAACGAACATGCTCAGCATTTCTCAAGCTGAAAGAATTGAAGAAAAAATTTAAGCCTCGAGTTGCAGTATTGAGAGATTCTATGGGCAAAATATTGAATGATGCAGGAAACATCAAGAGAAGATGGCAGGAATATACAGAGTCACTGTATCAAAAGGAACTGGTTGATCTTCATCCATTTCAGGAAGTGGCATATGATCTAGGACCAATGGTACTGAAGGAGGAAGTCAAAGCTGCAATGAAAGAATTGGCAAAGAACAAGGCTCCGGGAATTGACGGGATACGCATTGAGATATTTCAACAAACAGATGCCCCATTGGAGGCACTCACTCGGTTATGCCAAGAAATTTGGAAGACAGCTACCTGGCCAACTGACTGGAAGACATCCATATTTGTACCCATTCCAAAGAAAGGTGATCCCACATATTGTGGAAATTATAGAACAGTATCATTAATATCGCACACAAGTAAGATCTTACTGAAGATAATTCAAAAATAGGTGTAACAGTATATTGACAGAGAACTTCCAGAAGTGCAAGCTGGATTCAGAAAAGGATGTGGAACAAGGGATATCATAGCTGTTGTCAGATGGATCTTGGCTCAAGGCAAAGAATACTAGAAAGATGTTTACTTGGGTTTTATTGACTATACAAAGGCATTTGATTGTGTGGATCATGGCAAATTATGGATAACACTGAGAAGAATGGGAATTCCTGAACACTTGATTGTACTCATGAGGAACCTGTACCTTGACCAGGAGGCTGTCGTTCGAACGGAACAAGGGGACACTATATGGTTTAAAGTCAGGAAGGGAGTGCGTCATGGTTGTATCCTTTCCTCATATTTATTCAATCTATATGCTGAGCAAATAATCTGAGAAGCTGGACTATATGAAGAAAAATGTGGCATCAGTATTGGAGGAAGAATCATTTACAACCTGAGATACGCAGATGATACAACTTTGCTTGCTGAAAGTGAGGATGACTTGAGGCACTTACTGATGAAGGTTGAAGAATACAGTCTGCAGTATGGATTATGTCTCAATATAAAGAAAACAAAAATCCTCACAACTGGACCAATGAGCAGCATCACAATAAATGGAGAGAAGACTGAGGTTGTCAAAGAGTTCACGTTGCTTGGTTCTACAGTTGATGCCAATGGAAGCAGCAGTCAAGACATTAGACGATGTGTAGCATTGGGAAAGTCAACTGCGAGGGAACTGTTTCAAGTGCTGAGGAGCAAGGATGTCTCCTTGAGGACTAAGGTGCGCCTGACAGAAACCATGATATTTCCAATCACCTCGTATGCATGTGAGAGCTGGACAATGAATAAGAAAGACCAAAGAAGAGTTGATGCTTTTTGAGTTGTGGTGCTGGCAAAGAATGCTGAAAGTACCATGGACTGCTAAAAGAACTGACAGATCTGTCCTGGAGGAAGTGCACCCGAAATGCTCCTTGGAAGCGAGAATGGCCAGACTTCATCTCACCTGTTTTGGTCATGTCAGAAGGGACCATTCCTTGGAGAAGGATGTCATGCTTGGTAGGGTGGAGGGTCAACAAAAGAGGTAGAGGTCTTCCATGAGATGGATTGACATGGTGGCTGCAATGATGGGCTCAACTATAGCAGGGATCATGGAGCTGGCATGGGATCGGGCAGTGTTTCGTTCTGAAACATGGGGGTCGCTATGGGTCGGAAAAGACTCGATGGCACCTAACAACAACATATAAGATTACTGTGATGTGGAACTGACTTGATAGAACCTAATAACAACACCAATTAAGGAATGTAGACTTCTGTTCTTTGTCAAAGCCAGATACATTGAACTGATGCAAGGTCTCTTATGAGTTTAAACATGAAAAACTTTTAAGAGAAATTTGTACCTCTTAGGAGTATTTTGCCATTATATTTTCATGGGGAATATAGACCTACCCCAAAGTAAAATAAACCAGTTTAAGACGCTTCTCCCTAAGATAGTCTGAACTATGAACAGTATTTCTCACCAATGGTTAAGTTAAAAATCAAACTTATTTTCTACAGGTAGTCCCCTACTTAATGACAGGGTTCCATTCCCATGACTCCATTGTAAGTTGGTTCTGGTGTAAGTCAAATACATCTTTTTTTCTTTTCATTATTATTGCCTTTTATTATCAATATCTTTATAAATCTTATCTTCATTTGTCTTTGGAGGTTGGCATGAGAATGTAACATCAGTGAATTATATGCTGCAACATTGTATGTGGTACATATTATTATTAACAAGATGTCCACCTCCCCCCCCCACAAAAAAAAAAAGATTTTAAGTGCATTTCTTTACCTTGAATACATCATAAGTTGGGGACTACCTATATACCAATTTAGAAGTAGTTTTCTTTGAAATCCTCATGAAATTATTGTTGAGGTCATCAAAAACTATATATAACTTGAAACCTGATTTACTTTTAAATCTGGATAAATCTGATTTCCCTGAAAGATGGAAAGAACAGGATCATGGGAAACATTCAAATGACATAATTGGGAGCTAGTAAAACAACTTGAAAGATATCTGCTGATTGACACTGATCATGAAAATCTTCAAGAATTTATGAAAAAAATTAAATTCAACATTTTGATTTCATTTCATGCATAAACCCACTGCCATAGAATTGATTCTGACTCATAGTGTCCCTATAGGAATGGAATAAAACTGCCTCATAGAGTTTCCAAGGTTGTGAATCTTTACAGAAGCAGAATGCCTCATCTTTCTTCTGCAGAATGGCTGGTTGGTTTGAACCACTGACCTTTTGGTTAGTAGCTGAATACTTTTAACCACTGTACCAACAGAGCTCTTTTCATTTCATGAATAGGAAGACAAATTTTAAGAAACACATATCTATGGTAAATTTTGTGAGCAAAAGAATAATTAAAAAGGGATCTTAAATATCATATTGTCAGTCAACTTACACTTCATTCTGTCCATTGCAGCAATTAACTAATGATTTATTGATAGCAGTATAAAAGCAGTTTGATTTGCCATGAGTAAAAGTTTGCATAATTTTCTAAAATAGGTTAATGAAGAAAATTTGAAATGTGTGACTGAAGAGTATGTTGATGTGTGAATGACTTGGCTCTTTTTGGTTTTCTCAGCAACAGAAGAACCTTGAAGGCTATGTGGGATTTGCAAATCTCCCAAATCAAGTATACAGAAAATCAGTGAAGAGAGGATTTGAATTTACCCTTATGGTAGTAGGTAAGTTATGATTTCTCAATAAAATTGAATTTGGTGTGCTAAATTTTAAGTTATTAATTAATCAACTCAATAAATTTAGTAAAACAATAGCACAAATAACTTCAGGGACCAAGTGTTATATTTTCTTTTATTATGTGAATACATTTTAAAATTGAATCTGGGTTTTATATTTTCTTTTCTTATGGTGGCACAATTTTGGAAACTAAGAGAAAGTTGAGAAGTAGGATGAGAAGTAGAGCACTAAAAAAACCCCAAACATACTGCCGTTGAGTCGATTGCAACTCAGAGCAACCCCTTCCTGGGTTTCTGAGGCGGTAAATTGCCCAGTCATCCTTCCGAGGAGTGGTTGGTGGGTTTGAAGCGCCAGCTTTCTGGTTAGCAGTCAAATGCCTTAGGCACTATGCCACCAGACCTCCCAGGGAGGTATAAAAGGCTGTGGTTCATTTCTTAGTATTTTCCAATTGAAAATGCTGCAAAAGGAAGTAACATCTGGTGACTACTTATACTATAGGATAATTTTTTTTTCTGGCTTATACACTGGAGTGAAATTTCATATGAGCATTTAACTTAAGCATATTAAAGTATATGCTCTGAATTTCAAGAAAGGATGGTAGAGGAGCATAATAATGCAAATGATTACCCTAGGAATTCTATTCATTGAGAATAAAAACTCTGGAGTGAGTGAAATATGACTGTATGTGTTCTCTCAATCACTCTCTTTTTCTTGTGTATTTTATCCATATTGTAATATTGCCATATAGACTCTAGGCTGTATCTAACAGAATTATTTGCAAATCGTAGAAATCTAAAACTAACCTTGCATTTTGTCTTAAAGACCACAGACTATTTCTTACAAGCTAAGTTTTCATTTTTCAGATCCAAACCTATAGCTCTTTTGGCCCTTAACACAATTCATGGTTTAAGACATACATTGATAGGAATTGAGAATCTGTATTTTACTACTGATTTCTTTATGAAACTCTTTTTTCTGTATTGGAAAAAATTTATTCAGAACCTTGGCTCATAAGCATTATTTATTGAGCACTTGAGTGACTTTTTATATTAAACAGAGATGATATGTGTATCCTTGTATTTTGTATCTTATAAGAGCTAATAATTTATATGACAGTATAAATTGTATACATAAAATGATAAGTATATAAATTCAAGCTACTAGAATGGTATAAAATTTAAAAGTCATAGAAGTTTAAGGGCATAGGAGCATTTACTTTGGTTTGGAGATTGCTATTGCCTTATTTTGAGGAGGTAGTATTAGGTCAAATTTTGAAGAATATATAGAATTGGCATAGAGATTGAAAGCACTCCAGTTTGGAAAATAATAGCCAACACCCACATAATTTAGTGGCATGCAGTATTCTAAATACTTTATGGATATTAACTCATAATTCTTAAAATAATCCTATGAGGTTTGTTGTTACTCCCACTGTAGAGGTAAAAACACTAAGACATGGAGATATTAGGTTACTTGCCCATTATCATATTGCTAGCAGATGGCAAAACCAGCCTATGCCTCCTGTTAGTCTGATGCTTTTCACCACCATGCATAGGCTTATTTGGGGTTACTGGACATAGTGCCCAGTTCAGTGTAGTACAATTAATACACATTGAAATTATGTGAATTTAACTAGATATTGTTTGTTTGCCATTGAGGGAAAGCAGGAATGAAAGGGAGGGGGGATAGGGAGAGGGACAAGGTGAGAGAGAGAATAAATGAGTGAGAGTGCAATAAACCAAAACCCAAACTCACTGCCATCAAGTTGATTCTGACTCATAGCAAAACCCCCATTAGATTTCTGAGGCTGTAAATCTTTATGGAAGTAGGTTGCCCCATCTTCCTTCCATGGAGCAGCTGGTAGGTTTGAACTGCTGACCTTCTGTTTAGCAGGCAAGTGCCTTACACACTTCGCCACCAGAGCTCCTTGAATGAAAACTAGAGTAAATAGTGTGAAACTTTTTTTTATGCCATTCCACTGGAATGAGTGTCTGGCCTATAGTGAGCATGAAATGAGAGAGGTGTCTGCTATTTCCTCAGTCACTTTCGGTTTCCACATATTTTTCATAGTGTGAGCTTCGCACCTTGTTGAATGTTAGTTTAGTGACAATATGGCCCCTAAATATAAGCCATTTGCTTTTTATATGCTCAAAGAAACAGAGATCAGTTTAGTGCAGGAGGAAAAATGTGTTGTTAGTTTTTACATAACTGTGCTTTATTACATAAGGAATTTTCAAGATTAATTTTCAGTATACATTGACTTCAGGATCTCATTTACACCCCTAAAATGTGATTTTACAGTAGTTGAAAATAGGCTGTAAATAGGGTAGTGTTAATTTTGGAGCCCTGAACTGCTCCCATAATGAGATTAGAATTCTGTTTTTGAATCTTTTTTAAATTATTGTAAAACCAATGTTAGATACATCAAATAATGAAGATACTTTGGTCCTTATTTAGCAAAATTCCAAACTATTTGGAACTTAGCTATTTTATTAGGTTGAGAGAGGAAGAGATTGACTGATTTGATTGAATTGGTTCCCATGATTGTAGGGAGTGGCAAGTTTGATGCTTGCAGTACTGAGGGAGAATTTCTTCTTTCCTGGAAACCTTACTTTTTGCTCTTAAGGCTTTCAGCCGATTTGATGAGACATTATTGAGAGTAATCTCCTTTCCTTAAAGTCAACTGATTGTAGATCTTAACCACATCTAGAGAATAACAGCAATACCTAGATTAGTATTTCATTGAATAATGGAGTACTAAAGCCTACTAAAGGAGCACTAGTAGCATAATGCCTAAGGCACTTGACTGCTATCCAGTAGGCTGGTGGTTTAACCCCACCAGCCTCTTTTCAGAAGGAAGATTGGGCAATCTACTTCCGTAGTGATACTGCCTCAGAAACCCAAGGAAGGGTCACTATGAGTCAGGTCCGACACGACGGCAAATAACAACAAAGCCTACTAAAGGTGACACATAGTACTATGGTAACTGCCCTTTGTTAGTTCCTTATTTATATTAGACTGTGTTCTAGAATGAAATGTTAATTTTACTCCTGCTTTTACTAGAATTCTTCAAGGAGGTAGAACTCAAAAAACCATAGTTTTATCTGACCAGAAAGTATCTTGAAAAACAGATAGTATTATTAAACCTATTGTTTTGAATGTGATAGTTTCTGTAGTCTTGAGCTTTGCCAAATCTTTGTAGTAGAAGTCTTTATTTTCTTTTCTTTTTTTTAAAGCAGACTGTCATAATGTATTTGATTTACACTGAATGTCTTTAGTACCAGATTGGCATTTCTATTTTTTCAGTAGGAGGCAGCTCAGAGTGTGCTTGTTTAGCTATTTGGGGGATTCAGAATTTGTCATAAGTTTTTTTTTGCTTTTTAAAATTTAATAGATATTATTTTTTGGAGCAGTTTAAATGAAATTGAGCAGATGGTATAGAGAGTTCCCATATAACCTGTCTTGTCTGTTCACAGTTTCTTCTGTTCTTAATATCTCACATTTATTTGTATGATATATTTGTTACAATTGATAAATTAGTATTCATAGATTATTACTAACAAGTCTATAGTTTACATTGGGTTTACTCTTTGTCTTGTACAGTAAGTACTATGGGTTAGGATAGATGCAAAAGACATTTTTGGTTGTTGTTTATGATTTATTAGAAAGATTAGGAAGTATTTAGTGAATGATAAGAATATACAGAGAGAGATTAGTGGTTTGAAGAAGCCCTGGTTGGTGCAGTGTTTAAGTGCTCAGTTACTAACTGAAGGGTGGAGGTTCAAACCCACTCAGCAGCCCAGTAGGAGAAAGACTTTGCAGTCTGCTACCATAAAGATTACTGTCAAGAAACCCTATGGTATAGTTCTGCTGAGTCACATGGAATCACTATTAGTCAAAATTGACTCAAGGGAGGTTTCTGGCAAGATGGCGGACTAGGCAGAAAGACTGCACAGACCCTCTTCAACAAAGAAAAGGGAAACCAGTTAACATAGACACAGATGATAATCCTGGACCCCTGAGCCTTGAAGGGAAAGATATAGAAGCGGACTAAACCCCAGCTAGCAGAAGAATTTGCATGAAAATACCAAAAACGGAGCCATACGGAGCTGCGGTGTGACAGTGATCCTGAGCGATCCTGATGGCACAGACCCTTGGAGATTCCTGAGTGCTGGTAGGACTTAAGAATTAACCTAAAAATCACCCTGCTAGCTAGGGACTGCACAGAGGACTATGCATTGTGGCTGGGGAACAAACAGAAGTGAAGAGAAAGGTGGGCTGAGCTGTGGACTTTTGCCGGTCTGGAGGACGCCGCCATTTCGAAGGTTTAAAATGCGGCTTGACTATTTTGGATATTTAAAGAGACGGCGCTCTTGCAGATTCCTGGGGCTTAAGAATATGATCTGCTTTCCAGCAACCCCAAGGACACTTGGGACCTGCAAGACTGACAAGTTTTTTTGAAGGTTATTCAATTGTAATTTGTGTCTAATTGAGTGGGAGACAACAACAGTCCCTGTAAGGCACAACTACACCCACCCCTCCTGAAACTTCACTACCTGAGTGACAGCCACTACCTCCTTCTCCACCAATGGGTCAACGATAAAAAACCACCAACAAGAGGCTGAATCACCCTTGACTGCTCTTCACAAACAGTTAACAGAGATCTAAATACAACAACCCCATGATGCCTCGGAGACAACAGACCATCACAGTCCACAAAAGAAGCAAGATAAAGTGGTAGAAACAAGGGAGCAGGATACAGACCCAGAATACATCATCCCTGAGGAAGAAGTAGCATTGGAACTCTCTGATAAGGAATTCAAAAGAATTTTCTTTAGGTATCTTCAAAGGATTGAGAGACAGACCAAGAAAACACAGAAAAAAACCTTACAAGAATTTTGGAAGAAAATACAAGAACAAAATGACAAAATAAGTGAAAAATTAGAAATGATTCTAAATCTATAGATAGAAATACAGAAGATTAATA